ATTCCTGAATCTTATTACATCCATCTTTGACTAAAACACAGAACTGGATCTATTTTGAAACTGTGTTCTGTGTTTTGTGACTATCTTTATACATAGCAATTTATTATTACAAAATTCTTACTAAAGCAAAAAGGCTTACCTCATCGACAACCGAGCGAACTCTCAGTAATTCGTTGTTTTCTGCATCTTCATCTGGAGGATTGCTTGAAAGATAGTGCTCGATTGTTAAGCTTGGTGCCGAATTTACTTCCAGTAACACAGGTTCTAAATCTTTTTTTACCAAGATATCAAAACCCATTATCTGAAATTGAAAGAGGAAAAAGGAAAAACAACTGCTTAAAAGGAGCATCCCTCACTTTCGGGGATTGATGTGTGTGACGGCGAAAAGCCGGCAAGAACTGAAAAGTGAGTGTTACATATAATATCAGAATTATACGCTGTCGAACGACATGTATGGTAGTAGCATGCATGCAGACATAAATGCTTCAGTTGTCAGGTGTAGAGAGGCGGTAGTGTAATGGATAACACGTTACGGTTCAAAAGGTTCGTGGACAGTGGAAATGAGTGGTTCGACTCCTTTCTAGTCTATAATCATTTGCAGAAAAAGGCTTCGCCTGCAACAACTCATACTGCAAGACGCTTAGAATAGTGGCTGTAGTACTCATACCTGGAAACACTCGGGTCCCGGCTTGTCATAAAAATAATGCTCATAATGCAGCATAATTTCCGGCAGCATTGCAGTCATAGTCTTGACGATAATTAGTTTAATTTTGTGCCACAAATACTTCGTTTTCACACCTCGTGATTCCATCTGATGGAAAACTGTAGTGAGCAACCGTTTACTTCCTAAAATGTGCACAAATGAATTTTTCTGGTGAGGAAATATGGAAGGGTACATGAACCGGCAAAAGGCACTTAGAAGCAACTGGATTGCAATTTTGACTTTTGTTATACACCAGAAAGAACTATTTCATTATTGGAATAAATGAACGAATCGTAGAGGGACTGGTTGCTTCACGGAGTCGATCCCTTGGTCTTCTACACAAGAGCAGTACTACTTGTCAGTGTGCTATGTTCATCAGCAAAAATATATCAACATTTTTTTATGTATAAAAATTAGCAGCACCCATCACGTGCGGTCAAGCATTTTTGCGCGTTTTCATGCAGCAGTGAACAACAACAGCATTCACTTCGCAGTCTGGCTTGTGCACTCATTTTGGAAATGTATTTGCTGATTTTCTATCCATCTTCAAGAGAGAGGGCCGTCATATGAGCCCGTAGTGTTACAATGTGTGATACCGTGAAATCTCATCTTTCTATCTTGTCTAGTTCCTGAAACCTTTCTCTTGCTAGATCTTCCTCGATTTTTGCCTCTGTTATCCGTACGTAAGAACTAAGGGTACATAAGAGCTGTTTTTATTACGTTCTTGATATCGTATATAGGTATTTTCATAAAATTGCATCTTTCTGGCTTATCTTGTTGCTGTTTCTAAAATAGGGAACAATGGCGGTGAAGAATCATACATACACTTACGTGCACACATATACAGACGCACACTTCAATGCTAATGCAAAAACACATAAAAAAAGGATATCGAAACCTTTCATCTGATCATGCAGCGATGAACTGTGGATGTAAGCATCATTTTCTTTATTTAATGAATAATTTGTTAAATGAGCGTATAAATTTCCGAAATTCGATGTTGCCGGCCGCTCATACCTTTCTGTGCAAAAACGAGCCATACCTGAAAAGCAGCAATTCAGTGGGTTGTGGATTCACAGGATTCAGAAATTTATCTTTGCAAAACCAAAGTTGCTCAGCTGTGTTCTGCATTTTTTCTAACTTTTCTTTTTTGAGCATGAAAAAAAAATTTTTAAATAGATGTAGTGAATTTTACATTTAAAAAATTTTTCACCTTCATGCGCTGCATAAATGGATAGTGGATTGATACTTTTGATAACAGCATAAACACGAAAGTCGAATTTTAAATTATCGCCCATTAAGTACGGATCAGAGATATATTCCTGGATGAGCTGTCTTGCACCAGGCTCCTTGATTTGATCCGGATTTTGTACCAAATAAATTCCTGTTCCCTGAGCACCTGAAATTTGCATTTTTGTGAATAAAAATTTGCGGTGTTAAAAAAAAATTATTCCGAGCTTCAAAAAATTCAAGAAATTTACAAATTCGGAAAAAATAAGCTTTGAACAGCCAGAGTTCGTGGGGGCTGTTTTTTAACTATGCAGTTGGCGACTTTTTTCCACTGTTTTGATCAGTAGCTACTAGGAAAGACTGTTGGCAAACTTGACATCCATTTAGTCGCCTGAAGGAATCACTGGCTATACAACTCCTCAGATAAAAGCATTTTATTTTTTTAGGGTTTTAGCCGTTTCAAGATGACAGTTTCAAACGTTTTCACTCAAAACTGCGGTGAAGTATGTTACCGACTAGGAAGAAAATGGTCAAATCCTTTTTGTCATTAAAAACTGGAACGGATTTCTTGAATTTTTATTAAAAGCAAAAATTTCTTTTATTCAGAGTATGGCAGAGGCGCTTCCGTATTATTTATAAGGAAAAATTTTCTTCTGCCTAAAAGGAAAAATCCCTTTTTGAGGTAAAATTCTTTCCCTCCATAAAAATGTTTTTCGTGAAAATTCCGGGAATTTCCACGAAAAACTTTCCCATGCTCACAAAATTCCGACCACATTATGCCTAGTGTGTGCGGTCTGAACTGGCTTACCATCATCTGGTTTAACAATATACCAAGCATTGTGCCTTGAGCTGTTGCAGTGCTCCACAAATGCATCAAATTGAGCCGGAATAAACCAGCTTGATGGATAAAATTGATATTCGTACGGGAATAATTGGCGCATCGAAGAAATTGCTCGTGTAAGAGAAATTTTCTTTGATAAATCGGACATACCTGAGGAACTGCTAATAATTTCAGTTACTACAAAAGTGAGCTGTCTATAAAAAGTATAAAATTTCACTGCTGTAATCTGCGAAGCGCAAGTGATTTAGCTGCTCGCCAGTGATGCTCAAGGCATCTTTTCATTATGGACTGCGAAAAATCGTGAGGCTGTTTATAAGTAATTCTGAGAGGGGAAGGATATGTCTCATTTTGTTCATAGTGCCTTAACACTGTGCTCAAAAAACTTCCCACTTTCCACAAATTTTGCATTGAATGTGCCCATAACAGTCGGATGTGTGAGTTTTATGCCGCGAGTTAATTCATGCTCGGTGTTGAACTTCTCAGCCTCATCACCCTTTTTCCCTATGGTGGATGCATAGACGTAGAGCATTAATTGCAAAAAATTGTAGCCGATAGGCTGTCTAGTCGTGTTCCTATTTCCGGTCATAATCATAAAACGGAGCTATTTCCGATCATAAAATACATAAGATGGGATTTGCGTCTAGTCCGATATTTTCTTTTTTCTTTAAAAATCAAGGTTTTGCTCACAATTGCTGCAAAAATCGATTCAAATTTAAACCTGGGAATTTGTTAATTTTGGAACGAGGACTTTTGATCAGTGCATTTACATCATGATAATTCACGTTATGCCAATAGATGTCGCACGCACATCCATCGTCTCGTCCGTCAGGATACTAAATTTATGTTCCTCGGCATTTCATTTGTACTTTAAAACTATCAGGAATATAAGGCCACTGGACAATCGGTTTAGAAATTCCAAATTAGTAAATGTCACTGGTATGCTTCCATTCATCGGGTTTAAGTATGCCAGGCCCTCTGATTCTAATTTTTACAACTCAGATTAGTACCCACCGCGTGTTTGAAATATTTACGTTATCTCTTCAAAGGCTGCTCAGTTCGTGGCTTGCTTTTTCGAAGACGTCACTGGCCAATACGCGACGTCAGTCACTTGTGAGCAAGGTGAGCAAAATGTGTTATCCATAAATTTAAACTGAAAGTAGCCGTCACTCGCTCAACGCTGGTGTGATACCAAATGCGAGGGAAAAATTAGGTTAAGGGGCGGAATTTTTGTGTCACGGTAGTACCAAAACAAGTAATATTCCCTTCCCCTCATACCTATCGGAAGCTATGCAAACTTGTATTACAATATGCGAATGGCTGACCTCCTGAAGGCCAAGTTTTGCAGCGCAGAGTGAGACGACCTGTTTGTTCGTTTTCGCTCGTGATGTGTCAATCGTGTAATTTTGAGCAACGGCTCGAACTTTGCGAAATCCGTAGTTTGTATCCAGGTGCGTGCTGTAACTCCGCAATGTTAAGTTGATTGTAGCATGCAAGTTGATACTAGGAGCTTAGGAACCGGAGGCCTGGAGCAAACTAGGCAAGAATGAATGTGGAAATAATGAGTTACGACATTTTGGTCCATTAAGTCATATTAACTTCGAACGACATCAAATGAGTTTCTTAAATTTTGATAGTAAAATTGTGCGCTATCACACTAATTTGAATAACCCAGAAAAATCTCGAAAAAGAGATATTTGCAAAACGAGGCACTCAAAATACCGCAGAAGAGACAGTACACCTAGGAAGTGAAGAAAGAGGACGGGGCTGGCACCGTAGTACAGTGCATTCAGTAAATCCACTCAATAATTCTGAATTGAGAGTCCTCGGGTTTTTCTAGATAAGCTCTGATGGGGCAATTTACCAGCACTACTAAGACCTCCGGACTTTCGGCGTGAGAATTTGATGTTAGTGATGGTTCTGCAACGCTCCTATATACCAAGCGCAACTGTACAGTGCGACTGATGGTGATCTTCATGCCTGGTGGTCAATTAGTGCCACTTCCTTAAAAGTTACTAACTGCACCAGGAATGTTGGATTTCGGTGCTTAGTGAATTTGAACTGCATAAGTGTAGAAGCTTAAAATTTGTTAGTTGCACCTGGAATGTTGGATCCCAGTGCTTAGTGAATTTGAACTGCATAGAAGTTTAAAAGTTACTAGCTGGAGGTCACTTAAGTTGCCGTTTATTTTTTCAAGAGCACTTCCCTCAGTGCTATATAAAATGCACCGCCTGGAATAGATGAGAGGAGCGAGCGGAATAAGTGAGGTTTGAACTAAATGTGAAGTGGGAAAGCTGGCAAAAGGAGAAATGGAAGACAAATGGAGATTTGGAATGAGAGAAGGGAAAAGAGGCAAACCGAGGTTGGTCCACTTGTGAGTTCATTCTGTGTCTTTCAAAAGTGTGACGCACGCTCTACTTTTAATGAACAAAGAGTAATTTTACCAAAAAAAAGACTATTTCGTGCATTATTGCCAATACTCAGCCATAAAATTGATGTAGAAAAAAGAAAATTACTTGGGGCTGCCGGTCGCTGGACATATTTCATCCGTATGATCTATGCTCACACCAGTATGCTCATTATTATCATTATCAACG